TGTCGTGGCCGCCTGTTTCGCAGATCTCGCACCAGAGGAGGCTGCTATTGGCGGAGGAGCGGCCGTCGGACTCTGGCATTACGGAGAGTGCGGGGGGTGCGTCGCGGCGGGTCTGCTGTGGTGGTTCGCGCCAGTTGACGACGGTGTCTTTTGAGTCGCGCTCTGAGGGCTTTTCTTGGGTCGCCGTGTGTTCCGACAGGCCGTTGCTGATGACGCTTTCGCGTTGCTCTGCGAGGCCGAGCTGCCTCTTTAGCTTCTCTAGCTCACGTTCTAGCTCTTCTTCCCGGTAGGCCTTGCGCTCTACGAGACCGCGGAGTTCCTCCTTCTCGCGCTCGAGTCGTTCTGCGTTTGCTTTGGCGCTCTGGAGCTCTTCGGCATCGACATTGGACGCTTGTCGCGATAGTGGTGAGCGGACACGGTCATCTCCTCCTCCAGAGCTCAAGGAGTGGATGATGGCCTTGAGACCGCGAATCTCGTCATCGCGCTGCTCGACTTCTCTTTGCCCTGGTGTGTGAGGTGCGTCGACCATTGCGCCGGCACCCTTGAGAGCAGCAGCGGCCTTTTCGCGTTCGCGACGGAGTTCAGATCTGCCTCGCTCGACTTCGCCCCGCAAGAATTCGACTTCTCCTCGGGCTTCTGCTTCGCCTCTCCGCGCATCCTCCAGACCTTCTTCTAACTCTTGGACAAGTTCTTCTAGTTGTTTCAACTGCATCGCTACAGTCTCGACATCTTCGCTGCGGGACGCATATTCCCGTAGCTCTTCTTGTAACTCTTCCACCTTCTTTTCGTATACGCGTTCGGTTTCGGTGCTGGCCAGCTCTAGGGTATCGATGGTGCTGCGGAAATCGGATCGATGTGCGTCGAACTCGGACGTGAGCATGGCGATCTTATCGTTCTTCTCCCTAAGAAGTGCTCGTAGCTGCGCTACATCAGTAGGCTCGCTGCTGCCGTGCGCCGAACCCATGTCCAGGCCGTCTTCTGGTATCAGGCTTTGAATCTCTGACAGACTCGCCTCCATTTCGCTCAGTGACGCAGCCTGCTCCTTGAGCTGCTTCTCGCGTTCGTCCAGGAGCGCCTGAAGCCGCTGTACCTCTTCGTTTGGTTGCGAGCCGAGGCGCGAACCAGGTCTTTTATACTTGTAACTTGCCATGGAGTCATTGCTAGTCCGCGCTGCGCCGACTGGGGTTGTCTCATTGTCTTCGTCGATGGTGTCTTGGTGGCCGAGACGGGAACTGCTTCGCGAGTAGGGTCGTTGCGGACCAGGTGTGCGTGGCTTCTGTGGGAGAGGGGCTCTGGGTGCAGGGCTGGCGTAACGAGGAGGCGCTGGACTGGCGAATCGCGGGGGCGCGCCGATTGCGCTCTTGGAGAAGCCAGAGGGTGTGAGCCCGCCGCTCCTTCCCGGTGTTGGACCGGTACCAAGGCTGCCTTTTCGGAGAGGAGACTCGGGTCTGTATGATGGTCTGGCTTGGGGCGGCCGCTTGGGACTAGGCGCGCGGGCTCCGGGCCCGACAGACTGTGAAAACTGTGGCTTTGGCATCGATGGGGTATTAGGGCTGAAGCTTGGCTTCTCCATGGTGGAGAGACTGAAGTTGTTATGGTATGAAGGCGTGGTAGGCTCAGGTGCAAAGTCCGATGAGTCGGCCGAGACCCGTTTCTGAGCGCGATGTACGGGCAGGAAGATGCCAGAGCCGGGAACAGACGTATCGAAGTACTGTGTGCTGTAGCCAAGTCAGTATGCGCGCATACATATCGAGCGTTGTGTGTGCGTACCCATCGACAGCGCCATCGTTCTTGCCCCGCGCTGCATACTCCCTGTTCAGTTCGACGCCCGCGAAGACGCCCTGCTTGCCCCGGATGCTGCCAACAAACTTGACGACACCGACCATGCCGCCGGGGACGTCGACCGTGTCGCCGACATCGATATCTTTCCCGTCTGCGCCCATCCTGTTCGATGGCGAGCCTCCAGCGCCGACTAATGCGGATAGCGATGCTTGCCGTGCGATGTTGCGGCTGGCGTTCAGCGAGAGATTGGGCGAGGAAGCAGTGGGGTGGAGTGCAGGGCGCGCTCCAAGACGCCTGGGAGTGTGCGGGTAGGCCATACCGGACGGCTCGTTGACAGGGTCGACCTGTTTGGAGTAGCACAGGGCAGGTTGGACGGTGTTTGTTTTGATGCGATGGTACCGCAGGGGTTGGACTGCCAACGTAGCGGCGACTGACGAGCATGATTAATTAACCGATCGCTACCCAATCCATCTGCACCAGAACGTCAGGGGAAACGTCCCTCCTTTTCTACGCGCAGCCCCTCTTTTCACTTCAACGCTGCTTCGAATAACATCCCACGTTCTCGAGATCGCAACTGAAATGCAGCAGTATGTCATACAAGCTGTGGTACGCGACGGTAGCGCGCAGATCCTTGTGCATTGGGACCGACAAAAAGCAATCACTCCCGTACCAATGACAGCATGCAGCCGTCCTATGCCTCGCGACAAACAGTCCTTCATCTGCGTATACCAGACAATGCTACTGCTTATTTGAAGCATAGGGGGTTTCGCAAGACGTGAATTGACTTTCCCATATTCGGCTGCCTGAACTATTGGACTATGCAAGTATCACCAGTCATTATTGAAGATACTATTGATATCCCAAAGCCCGCCGACGCCACAAAAGCACGATCAAGTCGCGTACTTAGTCTCCGATGACCAGACCATGTCCTTGCTTTATCAACGCGAAAAGACTAAGCCCTGCATAAGCAGTGAACGCAAACGCGTGGGCACGTGAGGAGGAGCGGGAGCGGGGGAGGCAGTCAGATTCCCGGCTGCCTTCCGATCGCTTGCTAGAGGCCTGGAATACCCAACACGCATGAAGGCATGAAAGCTCTTTGGTATTATGTGGGAAGGAGCAGTTCCAAGGTTGCAATCAGCCTGACGCTTCCATATTCTTGAACTACAGATGTGGTAAACACATGGATATAGTCATTGAGACTGCGTATCTAGTCACTACATGGAAAACAGTAGCTTCCCAACAACACGCATCTGCAGTCTTCTTCACGAACACTTCAAACTCCAAAAGGTGCAAAATCCCATCCGCATCGACTCAGCTACCCGCGGAGTCGCCGCAGTTCCCGACTCGCCGACCGAGCGCCTTTCCCCATGTTCCACAATTGCCTCGGCTCACGCCTCGGTGATGGTCAACCGCGCCAACTACATCACTGCGCGCGCGCCCACACCATGTTTACTCAACAGCCGCTCTCACCATGGCCGGAAACGTGCGACAACCAATCGACATTGCGTCGTTAGAGCGCTACATCACCGCCAATGTACCGGAGATCAAAGTTCCGCTGGACGTGAAGCAGGTACGCTGTTCGAAGTCGAGAAGAGCTGGCCATGTTCGCTGGAGATGAAAGCTAACAGTTGAAAGTTCGGTTACGGACAATCGAATCCGACGTACCAGTTGACGGATAAAGATGGCAAGAAATATGTTATGAGGAAGAAGCCGCCGGGTCAACTGCTGTCAAAGGTATGCTGAGGCTCTCCATTTGCGAAGATCGATTATCATAACTAACACGAGGTTTTGTAGACTGCGCACAGAGTCGACCGCGAGTACAGAATCATCCACGCACTCGAGAAGACCGATGTTCCCATCCCTCGCGCACTATGTCTTTGCCAGGACCAGGACGTCATTGGCACCGACTTCTACATCATGGACTTCCTCGACGGGCGTATCTTCGAAGATCCCGCAATTCCAGGCGTAACAGCCGAAGAACGGACCAAGATGTATGATCTCTCAAAACCACTTGAAAACCGACGACAGTACTAATGCATACCCTCCAGGTGGCACTCCGCCATTACCACGCTCGCGAAATTCCATCGCGTATCCCCCGCGTCTGTCAACCTCGCCTCCTACGGCAAGAACTCCGGCTTCTACAACCGCCAAATTGCAACCTTCGATACAATCTCCAAATCGCAAGGAGCGGCCAAAGACAAGGAGACTGGAGAGCCAGTAGGCAAGATACCGCATCAAGACGACATGGTAGCCTTCTTCAAAGACCCAAAGACGCAGCCCGAGGACCGCGCAACCTTTGTCCACGGCGACTACAAGATCGACAACGTCGTCTTCCACAAGACAGAACCCAGAGTGATCGGCATCCTGGACTGGGAAATGAGCACGATCGGCCACCCGCTGTCTGATCTGAACAACGTTCTTGCGCCCTACGTGACAGCGTCGGATGAGACTGCCATGTCTATTGGGCGCGCGCACAAGGGTTTCCAGCCTGGAGCTACACCTGGTCTACCTAGCCGAGAGCAACTGATTGCGTGGTACTCTGAAGTTGCAGGCTGGGATCCGCGACCGGACTTTGTTTGGGGCGACGCTTTCAGTACGTACAGGAGCGCCATCATCATGCAGGGAATTGCGGCACGGTATGCATTGAGACAGGCGAGTAGCGAGCAGGCGCAGTCGTATGGGGCTATGATGAAGCCCTATGCGGAGATTGCATGGGGTCTTGTGCAGAAGATTAACAGAGGGGAGAAAGCGAAGCTATAGCGATCTGATCTGTGTAGGCTATTCGTCAGTAAATCATATTTCAAATGCACTTGAGTTCCTCTTTGAAAATCGTGATGTTGGAGCTGTAAAGGTGGTTTGTTGATTCTCTGACTCTGAAGATAGTAATGGCCGGGCGCCGTTGCACTTTTCTCTACCAGATTCTTTTATCGAGATCCAAGCCTATCCTCGCCCAATTTGCCCAGCTGGTATCATATGGGTACAGTATCGTCCTGTAGATATGAAAATGTCAATATAGATGTTCCGCAAATGTCCTCCGTGATGGTGATGCTCTGGATGGGCAGGCGTAGAAAGGGGCCTGGTGAGGCATACCCGTAAGTGTTCGCGCCTCAAACGCCCATGCGCCTTGTAATGCCCAGATTCTGTCCATCTGCCTCGCTCTTGCTCTCTTTCGATGTACCACGGGCGCTGTGTTACTCGTCGCCTGCGCGTTTGATTCTCTATCGTCCGATCTTGGGTACGTCCTGGTTGATGCGGTCAAGCGCCTGCGACTTAGTTAGCTTTGATTTCTTGCCTCTCACGAGATGGGATTCCATACTTCAAGCATGACCACGGCATTTCCTCTGATGACGACCATGCCGATGCGCACCTTCTCGCCGCCAGCCTTCTCCTCTAGCGCCTCATCGAGTACAATGTTTAGGTAGACCTGCGGTGTGTAAGCTCGATTCAGAGGTAACAGGGAAAGAGTACATACGTCGTAACCGCGGAGAATACCCATGACTTTACGGCTGCCATTGAGCTGGACGAGAACGCGCTTCTCGAGGTACTTTGCAAGGTTAGGTTCTGGAAGCTTGCGTCGGCGTGGTTCACTCACCTTCTTGAGTTCTGGCTGTGCTTGAGGCATCTTGACGGTAGTAGACTGTTTTGAGCTTGAATGTGGCGGTTCGGGTTCCTGGTGACGGCTTCGGGTGGCTTCGCTCGTGTGGGTCGGTCGTGAGCTGGAGACGCGCGTGGTGTTCACGAGCAAGAGCAGCGCTGCGCATGGTGGGATAGCTCCGTGGATTTTGCGGAGGGCCCGTGCGTAGGCGGCAGCCACGACATGTGCGCGCGCATACTATCTTCTGCTCTGCAACTCAATATCCCTTTTCGATAAAGCAATTTCTGACACAATAATCTCTACGATGAAGCGATCCGGTTCCAACCGCGTTGCACGCAAGATTGGCAGCTACGACGACGACGCATCCACCGACAGCGCAAACACCTCGCCGAGCGAAGTACAGAAGCCCACAGGTCAGTCACCAATTGTCGCGATTGCCAGCCTTTCTGACGTTGGGGAAACTCACAGCGAATCTCTCCAGGCCTTGTTGAAAGCTGGCGACTTAGGTGGCTCCGTACTAACTGGCCGTATAGTCGTCAAGCGGCCAACGATTGGTAAAGCGAAGAAGCGTTCTTCCCTACGAGTGTCTTTTGGCCCAGGCGAAGACGCGAACGATGGCGACGACTCGAGCGACGCAGCCGTTGTGACCCCAAAGAAGGCGAACCTCAGTCGCATAGCCCTGGAGAAGAGTGCGCAACTGCGGGCACGCTCACCTCTCGTACCTGAAGCCGCTCGCCCGACCGAATACAGCAAGGACTACATAGCAGAACTGCGAAACTCGACGCCGTCAACACCCCGCGACCTGAATACTTCCGCTGAAGATGAAGAGGAGACGCAGGCCCTAGATATCGCATCGAAATTCGGTCCTGTCGCGTCGCTCGAGACGTCATCTGCGATCCCCACCGAAGCCGAGATTCGAGAGAAGAAGGCGCGAAGAAGACGTTTGGCGCACGAAGAGAACGCCCTCGACGACGAAGACCGCGCGTGGGCATCTGACGACCAGGGAGAAGACGAGTTCAGACAGCACAGGAACGAGATTTCCCTTCGGCCAAAAGACAAATACGGAGAAACGCGTCTCATACACGAAGATGAGGACATCGCCGAAGGTTTCGACGATTTTGTCGAAGATGGCAAGATATCGCTCGGTCGCAAGTCAGAGAAGGAAGCGCGGCGAAGACGGCGCGCGGAAATGGCAGAACTCATCAACGACGCCGAAGGCGGGTCGGGCGACGACGGGACGGACGACTCAGACGAAGAGAGGAATACCGCTTTCGCCGCAGCTCAAGCCCGCGCAGGACGATACGGCCAGAAGATCGAGGACGAGGAAGACGGCACAAAGACTCCACCGCGCATTACGCCCCTGCCAGACCTAGACGAAGTCCTCGAAGGCCTCACGATCGACATGCAGACGAAGCAGCAGAGGAAGAACTTGATCCTGCAGAAACTACAAAACCTTAAGGACGACAAGGTTAGAATTGAGGAGCGCAAGAAGTACCTCCAGGAACAACTGCAGAAGACAGGCGACGAGTACGAAAAGCTGCGCCAGGAGTCAGGGCTTCCTGCGTTGCCCGCAAATGGCGTTGAAGGAGGCCGCTTGATCACAGAGAGAGGGTTGGACAGTCTGGGTACTACGCCTTTGGCGGGTACTACACCCGTAGCCGGTAGATCCAACGACGACTCTGATGATGAGTAGCGTTTGTTAGAATTGGACTATCTAGCTCCAGCATGGAAATGCTGGGCCATCCGTATAGTAATACTATGAACATCCTTCATGAATGTGTATGAACGCTCCCGTAACGCCTGAATTCCGCATTCGTATAATACAAGAGCCTAAAAGCTCAACGTTGATCGTATCCGTAAACTCCCATCCGTATGCAATATCTCCTCCATGCCCGTGACAGACCCCTCGCATGCTCATTTGTTCTCATCCAACTCCTTCCACACCTTCTGTATCTTCTCCCTCTTCTCCTTGGCCGCCTCACGATTCTGCTTCGTCCGCTCGAGTCGCAGGCCGCGCAGGCACATGTTGACTTTGTATTTCGCGTCGGTGCAATTCCCGGTTACTTTCCAGATGAAGCCGCGGTTATGGCATTCTTCTAGCGCTGCGACGACGTCCGCGCAGTCTATTCCGTGGATGTTAGATGGTGTGCGCTGTGGGCTGCGTGGAGGGGGAGGGGTGGCGCACTCTTTTGGACTTCTTCGGTGTGGAGATGGGGATGCATTGTGGGTTTGCGCGAAGTGTAGTGTTTGCGAGGGTAGACGGTGCGAAGTTTGGGAGACTCGGAGGAGAGGGTGATGGTGCTGGGCTCGATCGGACGGGTACTTGGAGATGTTGAAGTTGCCGACGAATCGAATCGTTGAAGATCTCGTGAACTGCGTCCGAGCGCGCGCCTTCACTCGGAGCCACTTTGTGTCGAACGCGTGAAGACTCGCGAGGCTTTTTAGAAATTACACGGCCACTTCCATTCTCTGTTCTCTATCCAAAATCAGCGAGCATCCGACTTCGTACCTAGATAGTACGCATAGAATCAAGAATCTTCTCTCCCCCGAGTTCCCCGCAACCACCGCCGACTCCTCATCACCGGGCACACGTCAAAAAGTCATATCGTCAGTATGGCATCCCAGCAGCAGCTGAAGAAGCAACAAGGTCAGTGGTTATTTTGATTGATAATTTCGCCCTCGCTGAGCCGAAACAGAGCTACAGACGACATATCAAAACTACAAGGTAAGAACGGTTCACAAAGGCGTGAATGCTCAACTGACCTTTTCGAAGAATACACTCCAAACTATTGCCTCAAAGATTGGCGACATCGAGCAAGAGACAGAAGAGCACAAGTAAGTCGCATAGCACCATCACCACGAAGCCACACCCGGCGATCGTTCAAACCTTCCCACACCGCTCGTCCCTTGCATCAGCCTTGCATTGCTCCATGACTTGATAGTTGAAATATCTTACACCGCTTCATGTTCCCATTACAACATAATCAATACTGACAGATACCAGACTCGTATTGGAGACGTTGCAACCATTGTCAGGAGACCGGAAATGCTTCCGTATGATCAACGGTGTCTTGACCGAGCGAACGGTCAAGGACGTTGTGCCGATCCTGCAGACCAACTCGGATGGTCTTAAGCAGGCTCTGGAAGAGCTAGTCAAGCAGTACAAGTTGAAGCAAGATGAGATGGAGAAGTGGAAGGTACGTCATCAGTTGCACTTGGATTCCACATAGCGTTGGCCCAGGCTTCTATTTCGATATCAAGTAACTAACTTCCCTTACAGAAGAAGAACAACGTCCAAGTTGTCCAACAGCCAGGGCAGTAGAAGATACCAGTGATGCAGCAACCCTTTGACAGGATGGGCACACGGCATATGCTGGGAGCCACATGAGATGACGCAGACGAGTACGGCAGCGATATCTCCGGTGACTGGAATTGGGGTAGATAGATCGGGACCCTGGCAAAGGGTTCTGCGTGTTCCGAGACGGAGTATACAGACGTAATAGGGTCTCTCCGGTTTCCGATGTTTGCACAGCAGGCCAGGCCACGACAGAACAGCACAGCCTCTTGATGACAACGAAAGGCTTGCCAGTAAATGAGTCCTATATCGATCGTGTACTATACCTCCCACAAATTACGAGAATCTTGCAATGTCACGATTGAACAAGCCACGACAGACCCGGGTCGCTGGGCTTTCAGCTACCATCCTACCAATGATGCCGCACATGCAGCCTGAAAGACCCCACAAGCTCGCAACTACGTATGTGTTTACATGAAGTGACTGATTCAGGACTGCACCGTTGTCCCGGCACGTGCTCCCAACCCCAGGGGTCTCTGCAAGATGCGTTGTCCAGTCGGCTCCCACTTAAAGCAACGCACTGATCTGCACCATCTCACCCATGAAAACGGACACGTAGCTCATAGGCTACCAGCAAAGTCTTCACAGAGAATGACGAACGGTCCGGGGGTCGAGTCGTTAGTGGCTGACTTGAACGTCATCTCGTGTTGGCTTAGTGAAGCTGGAGCAAGGCTGTATGCAACATGCGCGAGAGCCCAACGAACAGCGAAGACTACTGACGTCGACGACGGCCTGGGATGATGCTAGCAGAGGCTTGGACAACACACGTTCTTGCTGAATGTCATCCGTGGCTGCAGTGGTGAAGACGCGGCAGAGATATGGACGTGGGGTGGTGTTGGTAGGGCTGCCGAATGAGCTGCTGATGCGACTCGCATACAGGATCGCCAGCTAGCTCGAGGAGTCTGCAGTAGTAGGCCAGGTTCCGAACAGACGGTATGCCGGTGCTATGACCGGTCCGAATATCGAAGGACATGCACGGTATTGTAGAAAGCTGCGCGTTGGAAAGCGAATGCGGCGCAATGTTGCTAGGCATGATGTGAGAGGGGAGCTGGTTCGGCACGGGCCGGGATTGGTGCGGGCGGCCGAATTTCTCTTCGTTCTCACCATTCGATTCGCCCATCGAGGTAAATCCCCAATCCACCATCTCTCCGCGCACCAACGCTATCGCGCGTCCAAGCTCCATCTTCCCCCATCTTCTCCTCGCGCTCCTATTGGCAGGCGCGTCGCCAACTGCTCCAACGTCGCGACGTCAAGTCTCGATTGACAACTGCCACGCCTAACTGCGCCCGAATAACGCCCTGATTCAAGCCGGTCCGCCTGCATATCGTCCCACCGCTACTCGCAAGACACGGTCTGTGAATCGCCAGTGTCGCACGCAGTATCGTGCCCGCCGCCCGTAGCACACCAACTCCGCCGTGTGTCGCGACTGCCCCGATCGCGGTCGCGCCTGCCACTATCGCAAAGCGCCCCTGCCAGCTCCATCGTGGGTGCGACGCCAGCATCGCAGGTAGCCCCGGGCGTCACCACGAGCCGTAGTTCACTCGACGCTCCCTTGCGCCGTGCTCTCCGCTGTCGCAGCTCCCCACGTACGTTAGCTGCATCCCAAGCTGGCCGCTGCATGCCACTAACCGCTTCCTTCGCCAGGCCTCTCGTTACACCACTGACCGCAGGT